TTCTGTGTTCTATTATATATGTGTGTGTGTGTGTGTGTGTGTGTGTGTGTGTGTGTGTGTGTGTGTGTGTGTGTGTGTGTGTCTTTAGCTATGCACCTATGTATATAAGGAGCAAGATTTCGGCTATGTTGATTGGTGAACATCCGGAAGTTTAAGTTCAAATAAGTTATATCACCTGGCTCTTTTAAAATTCATTACATCGATTGTGCTCGATCGCTGTTTTTCTGTACCACCCAGAGGAATTCTGATGCAAAGCAAGATTTATTATTAATGAACAGGAACTGGGTCCTTTGATGTTAAAACAACAAACATAACATATAATTTCTGCATGATTATTCTATTTTTACCATCTCAAGGGCTTCAGACGAGGCTGCGAGACGTTGTTCATGGTTTCAGTTCTGTTGACTCGGTTGTCTAGTCACCGAGGTTATGACGAGGTAGCATCTGAAGTCTAGCAACATGAAATGCACAACTCCAATTAGAAGTTGGTGGAAGATATTTCAATATCTCTATATCTTTGACACAGTCATTTATGGAAGTGTCTTCCTTTTGCACGTCTTTGTTTTGTCGATGTGCGGTGGTTAGGGATTATATGGCGCGGCTTATAACTGGATAATGAGCTAGCTCGCTTTATGGAAAATGGCTGGTTGAAGTCTTTGTTGGGCATCAGTGGAGATTGTGGTTGAATGCGGCACTTTTGAGTTGTTTTTCCCATTTTTGATGAAGTTGTTTGTGAGAACATTATCCTTTTTAGCAGCTGGACTGGCTCTAACAGCAATGTAATCTCCCCAAATGTGACATTTTGAGGAGCAAGTGCCTGTAAAATGTACACACAGTTTTCAGCTGAAATCCTGCTACTTGTCTGTGTGTGTGTTTTCTGAAAGCCGACTGTGTATTGTGGAATCAAGAAGATTGAGGTTGCCTCTTCTTTCGCCACCAGCCTTTTTGAAGAGGGAAGTAATAAAAATCTCAATGGGTGCAACAGGCTGTTCTTCCCGCCCTCGTTTTGAAGCTGTCTACCTGGAGATGAATAGGAGGCCCTTTGTAATGAAAGGGGAGAAGAGAACATTTTATTGAAGGCTCTGGATGCAGGAGGATGCACTATAGCTTCTAGATGGTGCATTTGTGTCAGGTTTCACAGTTGTACTGCCCACCAAACAATGATTTATTGACATATGAATAATTATTATTTAAGATTCTTCACGGGGGTACAATTTCCTCGACATATCAACATGATGATCACGACTGATGGAAATCTATTAAGCTCCAAGTAGGTGAAAGGAGTATTATGTAAACATTATCAAATGATTTAGTTAAATCCTGCTTGAGCACCTTACCTGACAATGACGCCGGAGAACCACAAAGCCACAGAGTTTTCGGTAACCACCTTTATGTGTGAAGGAGTGAAGTCACAGTCAAAAATGGCGGAGTCATTCAATTACCGGCGTCCCCTTTCCTGGGAAAAGTCCCGAGCTGCGAAGAGGTTAATTGTTTTCGAATCTCCATCTGAGGGGAGAAAATGGGTGAACGGGAGGGATAATTGAGCTGCTGATAGTTGAGTGGGTTATGGATTACTGTGCTTTTCTACAGCAGAAAAAGGGAGGCGACCAGGAGGGGAAGGGGGGAGAAAGAAAAGGGAAGGAAGCGGTGTGAAAGGCCCGTGTTATGCGATGCAGCCGCAGGGGTCGTCTGGCCCTTCTTGGGAAGAGGAGAACTTCAATCCTGTTTAACCCGTGAGGTGACCCTTGGCCCCTCGCATACTCCCGCCTGCACCAGGTGCAAGCCCTCACTGCTGGCAGCTCATGCACACACTGCAAACTAATTTCTACACACTCTGCAAGCACTGGGGGAGAAGCCATATGAAAATGTGGATCCCTTTTCACCTTTCCACCCCCCCAAGCTTCTTTTTCTTCATGCCATTCTATTGTCAGGGGTTAAAGTTACAACCAGGATGGGAGGGGGGTAGCTAGAGCCCATCTTTCTTTCTCCTCTTGTAAAATGTGTTATAACTAAGAAAACGGGAGCCAAGATGATTCGACGTGATGTAATAATCACAAGAGTGTTAATCATAGGGATGTCATGTATAATTACTGCGGTGTTTGATAACACCGCAGCAACCACCTCGGGCCATTAGCGAAAGTTTCCTGTTATTATTAATGGGCGTTAATAAAATACAAGAAAACCAGCATGGAGCAAGCCCTTTGCATGGCCCACTGGTTACAACACTGTAAGGTTAACGAACCAATTTACATACTTCCAGCTACCGTCTGGGTGAAGTGACAAGGCAGACGCTCCCTACTCTGTGCTGTTGCGTTATGATGTTCAATATGGAGGAATGTGTCAAGTCTGAGTCTGTTTCTTGATTGTGAAGTGAAAATCAGTGCTGTAGAATCTGAGGTGGCTGCTTTTGTTGTACGTGTTTAATTTTATTTGAACCCATTTACACATAGCTGAGTAAATGTTGTCAATTGTACCCCCAATCTCTTATCTTTTGGAGGGGAAAAAAAAAAACGGTGTGAGTGGTGTCTTCTTGGCTTCAGGCAATGAGAGTCTTGACAGGGGCGAGCCGCAAAAATCACTAAAGATGATGCTGGAGACTGGGAGGAAAAGAGGATTAGTATCTGTCTACCATTCTACTATTTTCATCTGGGCGATCACATTACAAATAGAGCCTTCTCCAAGCACAGGAACAAAATGAGGTCTGTTGGTGATCAATAAAGCAGTGTGAAAGCAGAGGGATGTTATTAAAAAAAAAAGAAATCAAAGGCTCTGGCTGGCATGGCCATCATCTCGACCAGTCTGCTGGAATCAGATAAGGGAATGGGGCCTTGCAGGATGGGATGTTTGGCCCCTGGGCAGCTTGAGATGACGAATATCCCTGCCACCGGCACCCATTGCAGACTGATTCCATCTGCAAATGGGCAAAATCAAAATGTTTTAGGATCTTTCTGGCGTCTCTAAGATATTGTAATTGTGAAAGAAAGGCCGTAGGTAAAGATGAGTAAATAGGGACCCAGTGTTTAATCCCAGTGCTGGATGTTCGGGAGAAACTACGCAGTTATTGCTGTAACTCCGCTATTGTCCTCCATTGGATGATGGCTTTTTACCTCATGCTTCACTTACATGATTTAAAGAATATATAATCACGGCTGTTTTCCGATGACAGTGTGTCAGAGCTGGTGCGAGTGTTCGTCTCAGATTAGCTCTTTGTGCCACGAGGAGAGAGGATAGGCAGGGTGTGGGGTGGCGGAGCGGGGCACAATACCTCCACAATCCCAGTTGAAAGAA